GGGGGGGGTAATTATTATTTTCTATTCTATTATAACATTTTGCAGATTTTGTTGTTCGTTGTTTAGTTTTTGTGGGCATGGGGTTACTTTGTTTTTGTTTGAACTGTTTGGCCTTTTTTATAATGGGGAAGTGAGTGGGTTTTCCATATTTTGTTTTGTATTGTTTTGGTTGGGTTTTTGTCAGATATTTTTGTTGGGTGTTTTTTTTCAATATTATTTATTTCTTATTGTTTTCTCTCTCTCTTTTTTTTGAGGGGGGGGGGGATGGGTAATTGTTTGGTTGTTGCTGTTTTTCAGGCTCCCCACCCATTTTTGCCCACTTCAATCAGAAAAGGACATTCAATTTGGAAGCCCTGCCTCTCAAACTGTCCCCGTGGTTTTATGCACCCCGCAAAATTTAGCAAAATTTTATTATTTTTTAAATAATTTCTAATTATTTTCCTGTGTCATTCTTTGTTAAAATGAACAGAATCGCACAATTTCACATTTTTGGGCTCAGTATGCATAATTTCAGAATTTTTCTTGCATAAAACGACAGGGACAGCTCAAATAACCTTACAGTGTTGAAAGAGATGTAAAATGTATGTATCACAACACAGTGGAATCAGGCACTTGTCAATTTATGGGCATATGGGGTTACTGGTATCGTCTTAAAGCCTGTATTTATTTGCCTTGCTTTAGAAGATAAAGGTACCCATCTATATTGAATAGAAGTCGAGATGTTTGTGATTGAAGGAGATGGGAGTCTGCTGGTAAAATTAGCAAGAAAATGGTGGCCACATTTTGGTGACTACCAAAGCTTGTGTATCCTTGGAAACTGTATTTGAGAGGCTGCATGGTGAAATCTGGCGCTCGTCAAAATATGTAAATCGGAGAAACAGGCATTTTTCTGCCAGTTTAGAAACTTTTATTGAATTATTATTTTTTAGCTCAACCTCTTTATGTCCATATAAAAACACTTTTCCTTGTGAATTTTACTGAAAAACATTGATTAGAAACACAAAATATGTCATTTTATTTCTGTTTTCAAGGACTCCATAAAGCTATTGGAGTTTTAAAATTTTGACGGCCATTTTCTCACTAATTTCTCCACTGAAACCAGGCGACCTCACTTTCTTCAATCGCAACTGTCTTGAGTTCTATTCAAGATAGATGGATAATGTTTATTTCATTGGAAGCAAGGCAAATAAATCAGTTTTAAGATGATACCAATAACTTACATGCCAAAACATTGATGAGCACCTGATTCCAACGCGTCGTGACACATTTCTTTCTTCCTTTCTTTCCTTCATTTTCATTCTTTTTTCTTTCTTTCTTTATTTCTTTCTCCATTTATTCAATTTTTATTTTTCTTAAAGTTTTATTTGTTTACCTGTGATCAACTTTTGGCCGTAAAATCTGAGTTAACCCTATCCATTCACCCTGGGGTCATTTTGTACCCTCAGGGTTGTATTCTTCTCATTTTAGAATACTTCTAGTGCAAAGGTCTCTTTGAAACTGTCTGTATGACTGCTATGCAAAGCGTACGGATCGAATAAACGAGTAAATTTCCTCTTTGGAAAGTGGTGGCACAGAGTTCCCCAGGTCGTATGGATACGATAGTAAAACGCGACGTACGGATAGGGTTAACAGCCCATATTGTGAGGATGTGACTCTACTCAAACTTTTCACTCCCCCCAGATCTACGACGGAGCCACCAAGGACTCGCCAGGTCTGGGTATATTCTGCGGCAGCACCGTGCCTTCCCCTCTCACATCCTCCGGCAATGTGATCCTGGTAGTGTTCAAGTCTGACTTTAGCTACAGCGGGGCTGGGTTCAACGCTTCATTCAGCGAGAGCAACAGTAAGGAAGGCCGTAGCTTTTTTGTCTGGATATGTGTGTGTGTGTGGTTTGCTCCTTTTTTCCTATCAAACATCTATCGTCCGTACCTCTCCTCCTCTTTTGTGTCTTTT